CGCTCCGCCCATTGTGGGCGGCCTCCGCCCACGTCATGTATGCTGGGAACACCTTAGACATTGCTCCCCTACACCAATTTGTTTTCTGCTCTGTAGGCTTTCTCCCAACCGAGTTATGAAATTTTTCATAAAGCACTGCTTTTTTGGAGAACGCCCCGCCCACCGGGGGTGGGTCTCCCTAATTCGATGTGACTTACCAATGCACACCTTTACCCACTTTTTGGCCCAGTTTCGAGGCTGTTTTGTCACTGAAATTGAAATCTTGGTCTTCAGTACAGTTCATTTCGACGCACGCCACGCCCACTGTGGGCGGGGCTCCGCTTAGCTGATGTGTGTTTTGTACTTCGTGAGACCTTGCCCACCCATCCCACACTTGACCCGGTCCCTCCAGGCGGATCCCGAGGAGCTAGGGAATTTCGTGACAGACATACAGAACGACAGACAGACAGACAGACAGACAGAACGACAGACGAAGCGCTTTATAGTAAGTAGGATAGTTTGAAGGCCCCCTTAACAGGATGGTCTTTCAGGACTGGAGCGACATTCCATATTTTCTTCTTCACACTTCTCTTCTGCGTTTTGTAGGAAGTAGGATGCGGAAGAATTAAGGGATATTCAGATATGGCAGAAATGTGTCATCTCAGTCACACCGTTTCATTCGTTGGCAGCGCAGGACATTTGGCTCCCCTAATCTGTCCTTATCTTTCTCTTTTCTTCTATATTTTTTCTCTTTCTTTCCTTCTTGTTCTTATTTTCTTCTATCTCATTTTATTTCAGAATATACCAGTCTTTTTAATTCTCTTTCCGTGCTACTTTGAAATAGAAATGCTGTCCAGTAAGGGGAGGGGAATGTGCAGCGACAGCCGCAACTTTTGCAGGAGAAGGGGATCCCCGTGGTGCGTGAACCACTTTGCTTTCGCTTTTGCACCCATCCCGGATCTTCGTTCTTTCGAAAAATTTGATAATCTTAGGCAGTTGTCAGAGTCCGCGATTCGTCACAGGTTCCGCGCGATTCACGCGATTCACGGGTTACAGAAATCAATACCCCCGATCAATACTGCAATCCGCCGCCACTTCTGCTTGATAGTGATGGCTGAATGACGACTGCTCATGATTCCACTTGTTTCATATTCAGTGTTTCAAATGTTCAAATGGGGCACTTGCAATTTTTGCGATCCGCGCAAATCGCGCAAATCGCGCGAAACCTGCGACGGATCGCGGACCCTGACACCAGACTAGCTGAATAAGTCCCCGAGCTGATGTTTGTTTAGGTATCTCAGGCAGGTAGTAGAGGACTGGAGTGATTCTTGTCTGCTGAGTGGTGTCACTTCAACTGGTGGGCGCGCAGTGTTCGAGGAATCATCGGCAATGTTCAAGTGGGAGTTCAATTATTGGAATAGCCTCAGGATCTTTGTGGGTAGATAATGAGTGTATGGACGACTTCAGGCATGTGTGGAATCAGATGGCTGATGACGTCGTTACTTCACTGAGGTTGCAAACTATCGATGTGATGAAACCCTATCAGCAACATTTCTGGTATATATTCATTCATTTTTCTTTTGGAAGTCCCTCCTGATTTTCTACTTCAGGTGCGTAATGGAACCGCGACTTGGATCTTCATCTCGTGATCTTACCTCGCTATTTTGTCCGGTTCTGATGAAGATTCGTACTACTTTCGCTAACGCGGGTGTTCAAATCTCAAAGGTTATTTGATTTTCAACGTCTTCAATCAAATTGTACTTTTTTCCTGATTCAAGCGTCCCTACATCAAATGCAATCAATACTTGAACGATTAAGGAGGCGCTGCAGCGTCTCCTACCCACATGCCAGCATATTTAGTCTACATCAGGTTTCCAGCCAAGGGATAGATCCCACTCTCCATCTCCTTCTTGTCAGCTACCACATTCTCGATTATCACGTTCGCACCGATCTCTCTGTAACACTAGCCTGCGTAAACATGGTATGAAACAATCATGTCGTAAAGAACATCCTAGTACCGTTCTAAGAGTAGACTAGAACTACCGTACACGCAACGTCTCTATCTAAATTCAGTCACACAATTATCTAATCCAGAGAAAAGGGGCATATGCTGCGGTTTTCTTTCAGAGGAGAATATACTTTTCTGCATTTAATCAGCAGTGCCCTAGCGACGGTGCTAGTCACGACTAGCAATCGGACTACGCGCAATCTGCGCCGACTTTTCCTCAGCTGCACAGTAGTCGATTCACATCGCAGTGTAAGCGTTACTGCAAATATATCTTAGCCTCTAGATCGTCGCACACTACCCACTCTTCGCACTCAACTTTGAACGACATTTGGGCATGGCTGGATCAATGTCTCTATTGAATCTGTCATGTGCACGAAAACCAAACTAACTGAATATGTGCGACCATGACGTACCCATTCACCTTTTAGTTGGCACGCACTTACAGTAAATGTGCATATAGGTTGTTGTCCGAATCCCCTAATAAAAACGGACTTCCTTATCATCCGTCGCACTAGTTCAGCCGTGGTCACACATTATGTAATCGATTGAGGCTTCGCCGGACCCCCCATCAACCGTCACAACCACAACTCACTAGAGTTCCCTCCACTTTCGTGTCCTTGGTTTATAATCATGATATTACTACGTCGACCATCAACAAAGTGTTGCCTTAGCGCACTCTCTGGTTGTGAGCATTCTGACGATTCAGTCGTCCGTGCAGCGTACGAGAAAGATCAGATCACAAACACGCAACAGTCGGCACCCCTTGCATCTGTAATCACTGAAGAAATTGTTGACACATCACACCATTCAGGTTCTTTTGAAATAACAACCTTTTTTCTTGATCTTCCATTCTATCCATGAAATTCAGTTCTGAAGGGGCTGCACAGATGTTGTTCGATATTGAACACGGTCTCATTCCCGGCGCCAGTCACATTTCAACTCGATGTGATACTCGCCGGCACAATAATCGTATATAAAAAAGTCTGGTTTAATACAGTTAAGTTGATGCCGAGAGAAACAGTTTCCTATTGCTCTCGGTGGCTCCACCAAGTACATAGCACACTACTCATACGCGAGGATCTTGATATACCTCTGTCTATAATTCTTGTGGCTAGACGTGGAACTGGCTATAACCAAGTCGGTCACCCACAACGCTCCTTGGCTCGCTGAAGTTCTTATCATTGTCTTGGGCTGTGATAACATTGCTGAGGGAAGAAATCGGCCAGGTTAATATGCTTACCCATTTCAATGAGCTAACCGTAGGGCTGATTGCACGGCAGTCAAGATATCCAGTGTCTACCCAACAAGATTTATCCAGCAAAATAAACTTAATGACTGAATATATGACGACCACTCAGTATCGACATTACTCCAACCTTTGAATGAAATATGAGCTATTCCCGAGAAATAAACAAGTGACACTCTCCCGCTACTCGGTAAACAGAATGTAAATCTCTAGTAAATCTCGCACTCGTATCCGCCGTAACCGGGCAGCCGCTTCAAACATCCCAGTCGATAAATTTGGATGAAACGGACAGAATATCGGACAAACAAATGGATCATAAAGCAGCGTACGGATAAGCACAGCCAATTCTGTAAAGTAAATATACATATACAAAATGGAAACATTAATGATCACGCAACTAACTATTACTTAAAGCGAAGGATTTGAGCGAGTTCAACATTGAACTCTATAGAGTTTCAGTAGCAAGAAAACGGTATCGACATTGACACTTTACAAATTTGAATCTCAAGACATACGCCTTAGGAATCTACTACTTGGTCTTCCTCCCCGCGTCCTCCCCCGCCCCCCCCCCGCGTATCATAGAGACTGAACTGAACGTTTCTCTGATCAGTTATGACTCATATTATTTACTCTACCTCCCTATAGGTGTTTTTGCCATATAATTCCTTCACAGTGGAGAAATAAACAAAGAAGATATGTCACTCCGCACCTTGCGAATATTCAGGACCTAAAGCAGTAAGAACCTCGCAAAGAGATGGCGCGCGACAAATCGCGAAACCTATTTTCTTTCATTTAGTATGTGAGCTGTTAAACTGAGCGAGATTCTGTTAATCATGCGTCTGAGCATCGTTATCCACATCAGAAATAAAACGCGCCGATTGAGTCTCCTTCAGTCCACACCGCACACAGCGAGGATGAAGAGCCTGCTGAACTCAAGCCAGATCCCACCTAAAGCGATTAAGCGTTTTGTGACCGCTGTAAATCGGGCTTATGTGTCGTTGTAAACTAGGCCTCTAAGTCGCAGGGCCTTGAAGAAGCTTCGGCGGACGCGCAATACCCTTCGCATATCAGCGTATCACCATCACCCGAAGTATCACTACCGAATCTGAAAATTTGCCCGTGTGCATCCGCTTCAAAGCCCTATAGCTGCGACTGTTAACATAGCATGTAGGTGTTTGGTCTCAGGAAATGACGTGGCAGCCACCCCGACTTTTTGATAACAGTCGAATCATTAGTTACTCTCATGATTATGCCTGTCGACCTCAATAAACCGCTTAACGAGAACTAATGAGGATAGTTCTGTAACAAACGCGTGCCCAACAGCCAGCCTTTAGTTCGAATCCAGACAGCTACAATCCTCTCTCTCATATCGAAGATTTGCCGCGGGTCTGCCAGTTCATTGTTCATTCGTGAGGGGAGACACGCCCAATTCACACTTCGAGATATCCTGCCTGTATCGTATCTTTCATGCCCGACGTATACGAAAATCGTAGTCCCTATCGCTCCGCCGCTTCTTTGGTGCGAAAGTTCTATATCCATTTTGCCGAAGCATCAGCATACAAGCAGGTCTAAGTGACGCTCGCCTAATGTGTCCGAGTCGCTCCTTTGGAAGTCTCGTCATCTCACCCACTAGAATATGCGAGACAATATCGGAAAAGAACTTCAAGAGAACTGCGCGAGGAGATATCTGTGTCTCTGCCATCCTTGAAAGCGCGAACGAAATTGCAATCTTCACTATGTGTCATATCTATTATTCACTTCTCTTACTATCACCAATAATGGGTCGTGCGTCAACCCCAGGATCGCTTGAGAGAGAAGAGAGGACGCAGGATGAGGATGTAATAATAAATAAAAAAGCGCTCATGCTGAAGCAAACAGTATATTAGTTAAAAGATCAGGCTACGATCTCACACGTTTCGTTCGAATATATACCAACGAGCACAGATGGCGTGTTTCATTTCTCGGTTCTGGACGCATTTTGTCATGTCTTACATTCAAGCGGATGCGAAAGAAAATTCTATTTCCGCACGCTTAATGAAAATGAAATTAGACAAGACAAGTTTAAAAACAAAAAACCCCTTGGCCCCTTTTTCAATAGCATTTTGCGCTCTAAAGATCGGAATTCACCACTACACTCTACTGGGTTCAACGCATCGAATATTGCTGATGTGGTGTTGTGCCACCTATGTTTTGCATAAATACACTCAAAATTGACGGATTGAGGTGAGGCGGCAAAAAAAAGCGCTTCACAAAATCGCGCCTCGTTCCAGGCTGCCAGAAAAGTCGAAACCGAACCGCAACCGGTGTGAATTCAGCGTGTCAAGCATCCGAACTGTTGAATCTTCGCTTGCTGCGGATATTTAGGAGTAGTTGGAGCTGCTCATTTTATTAAAGCTAAGGAAGAAAAAAAGCTCAAGCTGGGAATCATGACTTTTGAGCAACACTTATGAATGGAAAAACCACTGGTGGATCAATTGGTCGTTGGATATGCCCAGGAAGTTGGAGCTTGCTTCTCAGCCTCTGGATCGGTGGGTTTTACGTCTTTGATACATCCTTTATTACTACGACCTTTTTTCGTTTTTTTTTCCAGCTTCAGAGAATGACAGAGTGGCACAAACTTTAAAGCACCAGTCCAGGCAGGGTACCAACTACTTGGTCATTAGGCGGTAAAAATGCCCCAGCCCAACTAAAGTTTATAGGAAATGTCTTTAAGTTCAAAACCTACCTCTAAAATGCGCTGGAAGGGGTCGAAGTCCTCTTGGAGGGGGCGGATCACCCATACCGAGGCGGATCGCTCCAACATACGCTGTGCAGAGCGCTTGCTCGACTAGCGGTCGTTGCGGGACCGCCGCGCTGTATGAGGTCGATTCCATAAGAACGCAATTGAAGCGCTTCAATTTCGATTGCTGGCAAATAGTTATGTATTTGCAAGCATGCATGGCTATTTGCCAGCAGTTGCAATTGGAGCGCATGTACTACGGGCAGGTTCGGACAACTCGTCCAACACACGTCTCCCTAAACGGCAGGGGGAGTCCCTGTCTAAGCCCCTGCCCGACGTTTTTTTCTACTTTTTCTTTCTCCATTGACCAACTTCTCACCTGCAACGTCATTATAGGTGGTCCTTACCCGCGAATTCGTTCCTGGATTGTTGCTTTAAGAGATTTGTGTTTCCGGTTTTCGGACAAATTGAACCTCTGCAGCAATATCTCATCCTTCAAGTGAACGGCTCACTCCCATTTGACAAGTCGAGATGTCGAACGCATGACTCCCGAGTTTTGCGCTTGGTGTTATTTTTTGGAAATTGGCGAAGGAGAGTTGCGACCACGTTTTCGCGAAGGTGGAACCTAACTCTCAGATGCCGTGGCTCAAGGGAGTATTCCAGCTTAGAAATCCGTTAGTGGGATCACATTTGCTTCGGTGGGAGGGCACAGTCATAAGCGTTGGGGTTAGTAGCGGAAGCCACAGCGGAATTGGTGGTCGTCATTAATAAGCCAACTTATAATTATGTATCGTTCTCGTACACTGCCTCGAGAGATGCTCTCTGCCTGAGCTTCTAGGCGTTTTGAACGACGTTTCACGCACTCAAGTAAGGGGATCGAGTATTTCGATGGAGTTGGAATGCTTGGAGTTCTCCTTTGACTGTTTTACAACGATAGTTTAAACTATGAAGGGTATCGAAATAAGTCTGGCATGCATAATGGAAAGTGAACACTTTAACTGTGCTTTCAAAACTGGCCTAGCTTTGTAGAAGCTCATCGCCGAAGAAAGCTGTGGTCTTTCATTATGAAAACAAGTATGAAAGCATGCGAGCTTCACTGTCATTGCCATTCCTTGACAAGTTACAAAAGATACAATTGAAAAGATTCAGCGTCTCAAAAAGGTGTGCAACTGCAAATTCTTGACTTTTCCGTAAATGATATGCTGCAGGCGGGAGGCCTCCTGCTACCGCGAGTGGCCCGTGTTGAGACTAGTACGAGATTATTTAATTGCCATTAGCTAATGTTTGTTCCTGACATCCTTCTTATTCTTAACAATGCCTATTCTCTCAGCTCTTTTTCGAAACAATTTAATAAGAGTGCACGCTATCAGCCAACGAGTGGAAGGTGCAATGCGTTCGACTTCCACACACAGTCTAGATGGCACGGTGTCCTAGCGATCCATGTGTTATTGAAGCCATGTCAAAAGAGATAGTACCAAAGCACCCTACTTGATAGGGGAGTCGTACCGACTTTCCAGAGACACATAGCTCATGCTGACCTACGATCATCGAGATGTTCTTTTTCAATCTACGAAGAAAAAAGATCTCGCCTCGCCCATTAGATTCAGGTCCTGGATTCTCTGCAATGACATTCTTGTCAGCCAGAGCCATCGACGTGATGTTGGATTTGGCAACCTAATTAGCTCTTCGATTAGAATATTTTTGTACAGTCAAGAAGGGTTGCCTTTACATATTAAAAGTTGTCGAAAAAGAGTGCATTTGCAAGGAATATTAACTAGAACGAGCATTGACTTCACTTTTTGATCTCAATATCGAGACACAGACCAGTTCCCTATGAGACCCAGACGTACTTATGTTTTTTGAATTGGTTCGTGTCGAAGGCATCATGTCGCGCGTTTTGCCACTCATTCGTATTCATTGCCAATTACTCTTTGAATGTCCTCACTTTGTAGGTGACATTGGTGCGAAGTGCGAATAGGAATATTCTCGTAGACTGTGGTGATCCGTGGAATGGTGAAGAAATTCTTCGGCAGCTTTCATTGTTCGGATTAGAAAAGAACGATGTGAGTGATCAACTTTCTTTGAACCCCCAAGACCTGTGATAGATGATGGTAGGACGAGCGTAACCTCATGGAAGATACGATACCATAAGGTAGAAGATACGACTGTTAGGAATGAGGTGCACTCCAGCTGAAGCGTCACCCCGTTCGGTAGGACCCTTACCCAATCCGCTACGTACCTTCCTTTATAGTCTCGTTTAGGATCGTGACCACTTCCTTCGAGAAAAATGGCCAAATATCACATATGGTTTTCATCAGTCTTCTTTTGGGATTCCCCACACATTCAAAATCGTCGTGGTATTTCGAATGGTATTTGGCCTGTAGAATGAATTGCGGGGGCCTGCCGACGTACAGTCAGTAGTTTCGGCCTACCAGTCAATTCTTAAAAAGTAACCGTTCCGAAAGGATGGAAAACTCAATTGTTACGGAAGGTGTACGAGAGAACGTTTGATTCCCGGTCGTATGAGCAGCGCAACTTATCAGTGCACCAGTTCCCCTTTTCTCACAGTAAAACGTGGGTATTCCTAAAGCAAAACGAGGTGAATGGAAGGCTTTACTTCATCTCCTTTTGAGGGTAGTGGCCTCATGCAACATGAGCCATGATTCCTATCAACAAAAAACAAAAAGATGGTGGAGGGCTATCACGCATTCTTTCTCGCGCGAAATTTTGCATTAGTTGAACTAAAATTCAAAGATCATGTTCCCCTCGCAGGATAGGGTACCATATCATCGTTCAGTCAGTGGCCAATGCACACCTTTTCTTTGAGAAGAAAATTGTGACTTACTAGTGATCTTCTTTTTGTCCAGTTTATCCATATGTTGAGGGTTTCGTATGAATTCAGATCTAGCTCTGTTGTTTTAGATTCATGTTGTTGTCATCACCCACGGTCACATTGACCATTGTGGGAATTTGTCAATGTTCCAGAATGCTACGGTCTATATGGACAGCGATGTCGCTTCTACAGGAAGATACACTACGTTATCTGAGGTTTCTTACGTAAACATTGAAAATAGAACACAGAAACTTGAAGTGCGTATAGTAGAGAAGGTGTACAAGACATATTTTTCCTTCATCCGCGAAAGCATTGGTAGCCAGTCTGTTGTCTCAGGCAGGTGCCAGACTTTGCGACCAATCGCTAGCGAAACACGTGGATCGCCAGCGATTTGAAGGACTTAGTGTTCCGAGTCCTTGTCGAGCTCGGGAGGGTCGTAAAGGAGCTGTTGCCGTTTCGGCCATAATGTTACAGAGATAGATCAGTGGGCAATCGAATGAGATGGTGTAGCGTTTGATAACAGTCGGTGGAATTTTGGATGTTCACAAATTAAAGGGTAGTGTATTGACAAAACGTATACTCAACACCTCCCGTGAATGATGATCATGACTCATCGATGAAAATTTACATGAATCTTTGTTGAAGTAGTTCGAGATTCGTTTTACAGTTCAGCGTTTTGGCGTTTTGCATGAAACAAAAATCCACAATTTTTTAAGGGCAACTCTCTGACACTCGCTCCAGCCGTGGAGCTTCGCCGCTGTCCAGGTCACACTGATCATGATCTCATAGTGATTGTCAGCAACACTGAACGTGGAAGGATTGTTATTTCAGGTAAACGTATTTCAATTAGAAGTGAAAAGAGTCAATCGTTCATTGGGGTTCTCTCAACGAAGGAAGGTCGTATGGAATTCCAGGGTTAGGCTTTCAAGGTGACATGGGTTCTGAGAGCATTCGCATAAGTGCAATAAAGATGTTTGCATCCTCAGGTGGACGTGTGTCTGGATAGCACCCCACTCAAATGTTTTTTCGTGGAAAGTGAATAGTGTGGGGTCCTTGTTGAGCACCCGAAAGGTTGGATTTTATTCCTTCATTTCTTCCTCTGTGTCGTTGCAGGAGACATTTTTGAGTGTGCGAATGACGATACTCAGTGGAAAGAAGTTTCTCGATATCCTGATTTGCAAGAGAAAAGCCGCTCAGAAATCGAAGAACTTGCTGATTGGATCGTTCCTGGTCATGGTCCTATGTTCAAGAACGAGAAGCATCGTTGACATCAATCGGAAAAACTGTGATATCTTTTTGCGTAAGAGGGAACGGTTGTGCGTTTATGATTTAGCTAGGCATCAATTTTTATTTGGAATGTCATATCTTTTCTTTCGTTTTACGTGTATTACG